AGTCTGGCCCCGTCCTCCTGACCCCCACCCTGCAGATATTTGTAGGCATTTCTAAGGTCCCCTCTCAGCCTTCTCTTCTCCAGGCTGAACAAGCCCAGCTCCCTCAGCCTCTCCTCGTAGCAGAGATCATAGAATCATAGAAAGCTTTGGGTTGGAAGGGACCCCTAAAGGTCATCTAGTCCAACCCCCCTGCAGCGAGTAGGGACACCACTAACTAGAGATGTTCCAGTCCCTCACCATCCTCGTATCCCGTGTGACAGGAGCTCTAGGAACGTCCTTCTGGCTGACTCCCATCACAGTAATTTTCCAAACCAGGAATCAGACCCCGTGCTTCCCCGACCGCCGTCAGCTACTCAAGCCGGGCCCCGGCGGGGCCGGGGGGCGGCTGCGGGAGGAGCCCCCCAGCCCCTCGGCACTCCTCGCTCCCAGCTTGCTGCAGATCTTTTACACCAGGTCGGATTTTTAACGCAGAGCTCTGGGTATTTGATCGATCCAGCGGAACTTGATGTACTTCACTGTTAGGTCTAGAGGAAGGCTCCAAATGTCAAGAAACAGCATCGCGTGGCCGCCTGGCATTTCCACGGCGATCTCCCGGCGCTGCAAGCAGGTAATTTTATTTCTGTTCTTGACACCATGTCCTCTTATTAGGCTGATGCATGCGTTCCGGACTGCTAATATTTCTTGAAGTTTAAGTGGGAAAATCTTCCACAGACATAAAACAAAGTTCTCTGATGTGATGCTCAAAGAGGTCCTCAGAAAACTCACACGTTTCCTCTCCTCGCTCCCCCACCTCAGCCTTAATGAGTCACATTAATGGCAGAGCTGCTTCACAGAATCCCAGAATCACAGAATAGTAGGGGTTGGAAGGGACCTCTGTGGGTCCCCCAGCCCAACCCCCTGCCCAAGCAGGGTCACCCAGAGCAGGCGGCACAGCACCGCGGCCAGGCGGGGCTGGAATATCTCCAGAGAAGGAGACTCCACAGCCTCCCTGGGCAGCCTGGGCCAGGGCTCCGTCACCCTCAGAGGGAAGAAGTTCTTCCTCATCTTCAGCTGGAGCTTCCTCTGCT